TCATCTGCAAAATGTGAAAATACTTTTTCTCATTACCTCACAAAGTTACTGTAATGTATTAAATGACTTCATAGATATGGAAGGGCTCTGGATCTAATCACTATAAAAATGTGTGGAACATTTCCATCACTCCAAATTAATAATGCTTTGCTTTATGTATTATCTGCCAAGCGGATATCATATTTTAACATGTTTGGTTTTCTGGATGATACCATTTGTGTTCTATGTTGTTGTTGTTATGTGCTGTTGAGTCGGACCCAACTTGTAGCGACCCCTCCTTGGGTTTCTGAGGCAGTATCACTACGGAAGTAGATTGCTCCATCTTCCTTCCGAGGATAGGGCAGCTGTATTTAGAAATATTCTAAATTTAATGTTTGTCTTTAAAATGACTCACCAAACAAATATAAGGAGCTCTGGTGGTATAGTGCCTAAGACATCTGACTGCTAACCAGAAGGCTGGTGGTCCAAACTCACCAGCCATTCCACAGAAGGAAGATGGAGCAATCTACTTCTGTAAAGATTTAGTGCCGACTATAAAAACTAACTGAATATATAACAAGTGAACACTAACACAAATCATATGAAAAAGCAGCAAAGACAGACATTTAAGTTCAAAAGTACCATGTTCTTGTTTGTTGCCATAGAGTTTATGCTGACTCATGGTGATTCCATGTGTGCATTTTATAGGCCATTTGAACCATCCAGGGACTACCAAAGGTATCATACAGGGTTTTTAATCTAACCTTCCAATTATAGGGGTTACAAAAATGAGATTCAACATAGCATGTGACTTATCAGGAGCTCTGGTAGTGTAGTGCCTAAGGTACTTGAGTGCTAACCAGAAGGCTGGTGGTTCAAACCCCCCAGCCACTCCTCGGAAGGAAGGTTGGGCAATCTACTTCCATAGTGATACTGCCTTGGAAACCCAAGGAGGGGTCGCTATGAGTCAGGTAGGACTCGATGGCATAGAACAACAACAACAACAACAATAATGTGACCTGCCAGCAGTCTGCACTTATTCCTCATCCAGCATTTTTAATAAAGCAGAATCTAAGAACTACTATTAAAATAAATTGCATTTCCTGTTTTAAAAGCCACAGGGTGGCAATCTGGTAAAGAAATGCCGGATTGAAAAGTTAGGGTCTTTAAAAACAAAACTGTAAACCTGACTAGCATTGAGATATTAAGATTTCATAGCAACTAAGAAGATTTAAATTATTAACCAGTGAATAGACAAAGATGCAGTGTCTATGGGAGGCATGTTCCAAGTTTTTACAGTTTATAAATGGAAGATGTGGTGCTTATATTAACTCAGTATATGCCACAATAGAAGCTACATATAAATTCAAATAGTTAAAAAATTTGTTATAGCTGTCCATGATTATTTTCTAAATTAGATCTCATCTAATATTAAAGTCAATTTGTATTCCTTGAGTATAGACTGACTAGGAAATGAGAGAAAGCAAGCCCAGAATCATTTAACTGTCATGGAAAGTGTAGAAAATGGAGAACTGTCTGTTCCACATATAGCTAATCTCCTGACATTGAATAACAAACACTAGGGGTCATAAAAATGTCTACTAAAAGGGTTGCTGACCAAAACAAAATGCACCCAACTCGTAATAGTTTCCTATCTCCCTCCTACATGGTGAATTTGAGAAGTAGTCTGTTGCTACATTAAAGGATGATAGGTAATTAGATCTAAATACAGTGTCCAATATGAAAGAATTTAGAAAATATTTGCTGATTGTACAAATTTTGAAAATAAGTCAACGATATATCCATTACCCATAGATCCATAAGCACTGGTCCAAAAAAAAAAAAAAAAAAACCAATGCACTGGTCAGTAGCCCCTTACTCCTTTTTACAAGTATTCTTATTTAAGGTTTATCAGTCATCCATCAACATAAAAAATAAATTCTTCCAAACTATGCCACCACTTGATTAAGTAAATCAAGATGCTATGAAACAAGATGCAATCATAAAAAACTGTATTTAGTCTAGCATGTGCTGACAATGAACAGGTGAACATGTCCTCGGGTTAAAATTAAATGATTCTGATTTTGAACCAGATTCTCTCTAAAAACTGGTAACGGAAAACAAAGGGAGTTCTATCTTTTTTAACTATCCTAATTATGGCAACCCGGGAGCTCTGGTAGCATAGTGGCTAAGGCACTTGACTGCTAACCAGAAGGCTGGCGGTTCAAACCCACCAGCCACTCCTCGGAAGGAAGG